GCCCAACACAAAAATGCAAATATCAAAACCAGGTGCCTGGACAGACACCGACATACAAAAGCTGTTACGACTATGTCGTCCAATTTACATGTCAATACAAACGGAACGCGGCCTGAAAAACTTCCCTCACTTATAAAAAGAAGAACAAACAGCCGAAAACTTCTACCAATAAATGACACAAAGCGATAAACCACATGCAAGCAAGACAATGATCTCATTCTCGGTCGCGCTTATCTACAAGAGAAGTCGGCGTGTCGTTCCTTGCCCGGGTTGGGGAGGTGGGAAGCTGGTTGTCCTTGTCTTGATGAGCCTTGAGCAGCTGCCGGGGGAAGCATCGAGTATGGTGGCCTGTACAAAAACATAAACTGCCGTCAAAATTCAATTCAGCTGCACAAATTGGACCTCATTCCCCCAACCCGGGCGAGTCCCCTCCATGCGGAAAGAACGACTCCTAACATGGGACGCAATGCACGGAGACTCAACCCGAGCTGTTCCTCCCGCTATTACATTAAGTGTTACTCCCCTACATGTGTCACCACCCAACAAACATAAAAAGGTAGCATGCTCCGTGCAAAAAGCAAGGTACAGAAATGCAAAGCAGGGGCGCCAGTACAATGGTACCCACAAACCTACAGACCTTACCGCCTTGAATCCCACAAACCTTCCCTAAACGGAGACTAGAGCCTGCAAATTGGAGACCCTCCTGTCTTGGCGTCTATCTCCTGCACGTCTGTTGTCCAGCCTGCCTGCCATGGCTGAGCCCGCGATACTGGCTGCTGCGATGGGCGAGGCAATTCACACGTCCTTCACGTAAGCGCCTAGGGAGTGTGTCGACCAAACTGGTCTCGAGAAAGTGGTACTGATTGGAAAACAAAGAAAACGCCAATGGATTGAATAAGTGGGCACCGGAAAGAACGCCGGACGCGTCGGTCATAGAAATGCAAATCACAAACGTGCAAATTCCCGCCCTGAAATTTCTACCGATGAATTCCGCTCTCTGACGCTGGAAATACAGACAAAGAAGGAAAAACACCCATGTTGTTCGTGGACCTGCATTCTCTCTCGGCCTTCCCTTGTCGTCAAACCGCACTAGCACACTGAAAACAAAAAGAAGCGAGGAAGACAGCCACAGAAGAGAAACCGAAAAACGGCGCCTCGTGGCAACGCTCTACCACCCATACCGAAGCAAATCACCCAGGTGCGGAGTCCCGCCCTGACATTCTTGCAGACAATGTCTGACGCTGCAAAAACAAGACAGAAAAACATCAATATCGCCCCTGGTGCTGGCCTCTCTCGATTTCCTGTAGGTATCCTAGAACCTTAGCAAAGGCGAGCGAGAGACAATGCACAGGAACAGTACATAAAATTAGAAATACAACGCTCTAAAATCCTCGATACCACGTGCCTCGCAAAACTGTTGCCCCCACAAAAAAACACCAAAAGGAAAACCTTACAGTCCTTAACCACTCGACTGTAAAGTGAACAATGCCGCCTTCAATGTCCAGCCTTCTCCACTAGAGTCCTTGGGTAGCCGGCTGGAGACGCGAGGCGACTTCGGGGGCTGCCGCGTGCTGCCCCGCCGAGCTGTTCTCGCCGGGCCGCGCTGGAGACACGTAGGCGGAGCGTAACCCGCTCCCCAAAGTGTTGCGGAGGGATCCAAGGAAGAATGGCAGTGTGCTCCGTCTACTGCCTCCTTTTATGGGATTGATTATAACGTCATTTCGGATTTAACCAATGAGAGCGCAGTAAGGATAGGATGCAAATCATTATAGGATGACTATTTCTTACTATGCAGTGGTTAATTGCACATGCGTACAATAGAATTGCAAAAATGAAAATTTTATTTACCTAGAATATCGGGATGGAATTGAAACTCAAGGTTGTCGCTTTGTTTCTTTTTTCTCCACCGGTAACCCAGAATTCCTGCTACTACTCCCAGCACAAGTAGTGCCATAGATGGCACCACGGCAATCATCACCACGTGTAAGGTGGTCAGTCCTGCTGTTTCAGCTGAATCAGAGGAAGTACATATCAAATGTGTACTGTTGTCTTTTAATTAGATGATTTACATATTCTACATATGACTCACAAAACATGACATGTGTGAATTTTAAAACGTGGACAAAGGTCATCTCTTAGCCAAATTGCAACATACACAAACAGGAGTAGGTATACAAATAGAACTTCGGGTAAAAAGGTACTGTAAAAAGAACAGTCACAAACGCAAAAACATCAAAACATTTTTAGATTGAGAAACATCAGAATAAACCTGCTTTCTCCTCTGGCGAAGCCAGTCACTGATGGAAGCTAGTGGATACTAGCTGAAACGTCTGACGTTCCAAAATCATATCCAGTTGCTTGAGTAATTGCTTTTTGGCGTATCTTATTACTTGGATGTCTAACCTTCATCGACGTATCAGAATATATACAAATATACAAGTATAACTTGTTTCTATTGTCGCGTAGTACTGGTGAGCCTAAACCTCTTGAGTTGTTCAATTTCTAGGTCTGCTCATTGACAAACTTTAGACATTAGAATCGGACTTACACTGTGTGGGGGTGGTGGTCTCTTTTTCAGAGATGTTTATTAGTTGTTGTTAGTGTTCAGAAGTATAAGTAAATTCAATAAGTGGTTACGGTCATTTTTGTGGTTGTTGTTCAGAAATTGTTATGTATGATGTTATTGAAGCTTTTGTTACTATTAAGTTGGTAATTGAATGTATTTTATTATTGTGAAAGGACTCCAGGAAGATTAGTATACACAGGTTGTATTACTAATGGAGATTCCTAATAAACATAAATATAAACATATGGCCTCTTCACCTGAGGGTATGTCCATTATTTCCTCTTGCACAACTTGACTGATAACTGTATGGAATATTTCAGCCGTAACATTGGATAAAATTGGGCATAATAACATGTAACGTTATGCATATGGAGCATATTTAAATTGAGAATATCGGATAGATTTCCACATAAATGATAAAATGTTTCAACACAATATGATTTATTATTGAGAATTCTAATAGCAAAAATTATTTTCATGATAATTAAAATAATTTGTGTATTGCTATAACATTGACAACGGACCTACTAAGTACCCGATGACTCGAACTGATCTGGTCGTGGAGGGAGTCAGTGTTCTCATTGTTCAAATATTATCGTTGTCATTGGAGTTACCAACAGAGAAGCAATAAAAATAGTTTACATTGCAGACACATGTATACATACCGTACCTACCTGTTAGGATTGTAACGTTTGATGAGTTTCCCCGGTAATTACTAGCGATGACCCTGTACGCACCACTGTCATCTAGTGTAGCATTCAGCAGCGTGAGTATTCCTGTAGTGACGTTCGTGACAGAGTTGCTAGGAAGGGAACCGTTGACTTTTGTCCACAGGTATGTAGGAGGTGGCACACCGTTGGCGCGTGCCTGAATTGTCACCTGGTCTCCTTCTGTTGCATAAAGGCTTGGAAGGACGTCCGTAATCGTCGGAGCGTCTGTATGATATATGACATGAGCTGATAGTGACTTACCTAAGCTACGAATATTTTGAAAACATTTTCCGAGATTCATAAAAAAAAGATTGAGATGGATGTAAGCATTGCCAGATCTCGCCAACCTCGAGGTAAGTGAGGTAACACTTACAAACAAACAAACAAACAAACAAACAAACAAACAAACAAACATAATACATAAGATATAATAACAGAACTACATTTCTTTTGGTAACACACCTCTGCCCCTTAAAGGCTACTAGATACTTATAGACTTATTTCCAAACATACTTCATACATAAGCTTTTTGCAGCCAAGAGGCTCGATTATGAAGCTTTTACAAATTGTTAAAAATGCATATAGGTAGTAAATATGCAACGCACCGCGTATACATAGTTCGTGCACAAGACATCACTTTTGCACTAGATTAATGCACATTTTATGCTAAAATTACAACCACAGATTCTGTCACAAATTACACAAGTATAGCTAACAATAATAATATACTATTACATCGTGTTCAACTATCACATCATGTGCAACAAAAGTCTATTAAATCATGTCAGAAGTCAATAGTGAAGAAAACAGGTAAACGTACAGTGCACCACAAGGGTCCTGCTCTTCGTCAGTGGTAATGAACCATCACTGAAGGCAGCCATCAACTGATAGACGCCATCATCTGCTGGACTTACTGCTTTTAATAGCAGGTCTGCATCACCTAATACTTCCACTCTCCCCTAGATTACATGCCAAGTACATATAGATAAATGCAGACAATAATATGCTCAACAGATCATACTGTCATCATCACGTAAGGTAGCACTGAAATGGCAATATGCTCAAGATAAAGGCCGACATTGTGAGATTTGGGAATCAAATAATAAGTGTAATTCTAAAAACATTATGTTTATCTATCTACAGCCAAAAGGTGACCTTCCTTCACATCATATATGTATGAGGTTTAAACGGCGATTATCATTCTTACCTCATAACTGGGATCAATGGAAGCATTCAAATGGTGCACACGGCTAGCCATCATCTGATCACGACCATTCACTCTGCTATACCAGGCCACAAAACTATATTGAGGTTGGACTTCAGACGGTAGCTCCAGTGAAGCTCTGCACTCGTTCCGTCAATAGCTTCCGTTACACCATTGTCTTGTAGGAAAATGCGACTCTCAGCTGAGGCAAAACAATATAAGTTTTAGTTATTAGTTCAGTACATTTTGACCCACGCAGAATGTTAAAATAAGTTGGAAAATTATATGGATTCACAATGAGGACCAGGTTATTTAAAATATTCTTCTTTTTTATTTCACTGCGAAAATAGAATAAAAAAATCTTAAATTGGCAGCAATGGACATTGATTTGCAAGGGATCATTTTAGAAGCAAAGAATGGCATACATCGTAATCTCAGCCTTACCCATGAAAATCACAATTTGAAGCATTTAGGCAATTCGAAATTATCATGCATTGGTATCAAACACCTGAATTTCAAGTGCTCTGACTAATCACTATCGTAATAATTTGTCTTATCTTGCTCTCTGGGAATGTTCTTGAAGCAAAGCACAAATAAACGTGCAAACTTGTGCAGAGAATTAGGCACAGTTAATGTTGAATAGTAGTGTGTATGTATGAACAGATAATTTAATCGTTTATCGAAGTCAGCAAAGTATACCTGTGGTCTTATCTTGAAAATTCTACCTGTGTTGGTAGCTATAGAATTAATTATGAAGCAAGTTTAAACTGTAATATCCAACACAAGAAATTGGACTCACCCAAATGTTCGACTGTACAACTCCAGTCTTTGTCAAGGAATGAGCAATCCACCGCTTCCGTGACGTCACGCAGATAACACACGTGACTCCGTGAGCAGTGGATCATAGATTGCAGAAAGTCTGTGGCGTCCCCCGTCTCTGTTGAGGGATGGCTGCAACCTATGATCCACTGCTCACGGAGTCACGTGTGTTATCTGCGTGACGTCACGGAAGCGGTGGATTGCTCATTCCTTGACAAAGACTGGAGTTGTACAGTCGAACATTTGGGTGAGTTCAATTTCTTGTGTTGGATATTACAGTTTAAACTTGCTTCATTATATCTGTGGTCATTCGTTGCGTACTGGTAGTCGTCGATGTCCGTGTTGGTATTGCTGTTGAACTTTGTGCTTGCGGCACTGGAAAACCCGTTTTAAAGGGAACTGACTTACAAAATCCAGTAACTCAGTCATGAATTTATTTTTTTCACAAGTAGGCTGGCTGTTGGTATGTACATAAAGCCAGCGGCATTGACGAATTAGCCAAAGCTACAATGGAAAGCATCCAGTACATTGGTTTAAGGCTAATGACATGTAACTCATAAATCATATCTTATTAATCACTACTTGTTGATCTTAATTTGCTCAGTAATGATAGACTGGTCTTGGAGCAAAGTGCAAACATTGCAACGTTAATGTTGAATAATCATGTATAAAAGAATTTGTACCCAAAGGCAAAGTGTACCTGTGGTCAGTAGAGAGGTCGTTCCTTGTGTACTGAACATTACTGGATCAGGTGTCTCTGTCGGTTTTGCTGTCGTACTTTGTGTTTGAGGCACTGCAAAGTAGATGTTATTGGGGAATTATATTTAATTTTAAGTTAGTTATAGTTTGTAAGCCACAGATCCATAATATCCACAAGTAGAAATAGGCCGCCTATTCAGCTATTGGAAAATGCAGGACACGGATATTCTTAGACACCACAAATATTCTTAGGCACCAATATACATTATCTCTTAACCCAAGACATTAAATCGGTATTCTAAGACTTTTCGAAGAGTGTCTTGAACACTTGGATATACTCTTAGTGTGCACACCTCTCGGATTACTGATGATGCAGTAGTGGATGATTTTCTTTTCAGTCACCATCACGGTGTTATAATTAGCGTTTTGTATGTATTTATCTAGAAGATATCAATTGCTCTGACTATTGATTCAGTTGCAGTCTCAAAATTATAAGAATTGATGGTATGTATAAAAAGTCACCTTCGCAAAATTTTCCCTCCCAGCCATGCGTACATTCACATTTGTAGCCAAAATAGTAGTCAATTATACACCGCGCACCGTTCTGACATAGATGAGCACAGTCATTCATATCTGTAACAAATCATCGGATGTTAGTCTTCAGTTCAAAGTTCTAAAAGCAAATCTAAGATCAAATGGGAAACATAATTAATGCTGGAGACTTGATTGAAAGTCAATAGTCTGTGGAATAAAGGGTTAATGCCCCGCCCCGAGGTGTATATGGTGAGATAATCCCTGGTCAGGTGTGATAATAACCGAATAAACCACCAAGTGAGCGTAGCGAACGAGGTGGTTTATGAGGTGGTTGTCACACCTGACCAGGGATTATCTCACCATATACACCGAGGATAAGGCGGGGAATTAAAGAGGAATTTGGAGGACCCAGTCCTCCACCAATAAAGAAACTATCGCCTGTGAAGGTCTAGTAGCTAAATTGACCCCGCACATCCTCCCAACATCATAAATTGATTATAAGCCACGGGATGTCTGAACCCGACTGCCAGTGGAAACAATGGGAGCAGACGACAGACAGTGATTTGCATATTAACTGACGTTTGAAGTTTTGAAAAATGTTGTATTTTATCTTCACTAGTTTTTCAACATAACATTGCCATACAAGGGAAAATGACAGAAAGTTGCAGCAAATCTAAACACAATCCATGTAACATTCACTTGGCAGTCGTTAGACAAGATAAGGGCCCACAGTTTCCAATTTGAACAATTCTAGCAGATATGAGCCTCTGTCAAGCTTCCAAGTTTGTTTCAAAAACTTATTTCTCTATAATCACAAATTGCACAATGTCATGTCTTATCCACAGCCAAACTAGATTTCTATTGATATGATAGTTGTATGTTAACAAATATACAATGTAGAAACATGTAGAAACACTTTTGGCGGCTTCTTGCATTATATATGAGAATCAAAGTCTGAAATGCTGACTAGATGAAGTCCCTGTTTACCAGGATTGGCATAGTACATGCCTGTGTAGTTATTAGTCTATATTCTTGTTGTTTAGTAAAAGATTATATGTACTTTTCATGTACATATCCATGTCTCCACATAATGTTGAAGAGGTGTACTTGGTATACTATCTCAGCCTAGCTCTCCCCATGGGTTCACCACGGCTTCCAGTTGCAGAATGAGCTGTGAGAGTTTACAGTACCCGAATTTATTGGGTGGTTTTATAGTCCAACCTTCCTCTTTAACGTTATTATCATATATCCTATCCAAACTTTTGTTGTTGTTTTTTTCCATCCGCCTTGCCTTCAAGCGATCAACTTGCTGTTCATTGAAACTAGCAAAACGAGTACAGTAAATCTTAATTTTTAACCATCCACAATTTTAGTGACTTAAACGGTCAATATCCACCGCAAGTATTTCATGTATTTGATTACTTCTGTCCCGCCACCATAACAAGCTCGTTATGGTACACTCACAATCACGCTTCATTTCTTGGCCAGGTCACGCATATAATGTGCTAGTGATTCAATCAGGAACAATCAAAACATTGCGGTAACTATAATAAATAAAATAAAACATGTATTATAAAGAAAGTGTGTGTCGCCATTTTATTTACAAAATGCAGTGTGTAAATATATCAAACCAGGTACAGTTATATTAAAACAGTGCCGTCGTTATGCTTTGACACGTGGTATTTACAAATGCATACACACTAGATTACATTCGCGCCGGTGTTCCGTACTTATCCCGTACATTGTGTCGTGCTCTCTCCGCCAGGTGACATGCAAAGTTCAAAATGTCCTTAGAATAAGTTTGTTCTGTAACCCACATCATGTTCCACCGTGTTAGATCTGATGAAATTCGACCAAAACGTGTTCCCAAGCTATGACGTCATCGGCGGTAATATAAGTCGACGCTGGTTGGTTCGGGTGTTTATGGGATTTTAATGACCTCTGGGTGTGTTATGGTGTCATAAACAATGGTAAACTGGGACCTCTGATTGGTCAACGCTACCTTGCTATATGATAATTAAGGGTTAATGACCCGCCCCGAGGTGAATATGCTGTGATAAAGCCTTGGCAGTTGCTATAACCATCGAATAAAGACACCGAGTGAGAGCAGGTAATCGGAACCTGAAACAATTTTGAAAGAGATTTGTTCACATTGGGTGGCTCAGCAATGGAACTTACCGATCTGACAGGAGAAACCTTCATAACCAGGTGGGCACTGACAGTAGACACCCCCAACCACATTGGCATTAACACACGTTCCTCCGTTAGCACACAGATCCAGCCTGATGGCACATCCACGAGTAACTAGCAGCAAAATTATCTGCACTCACACTCAACGCTTATCATAGAGAGACAAAGAGGCGAGATGGGCTTGGTAAGTTTAATGTTTTAAACCATGAGAATCCACGGGTGGGTGGGTGGGAGAAAATTCAGATGAGCTCGAGTACGTGAGCTCCCACCGCCCGCTACTTGTGATGACAATAAACAGATGACCGCTGGGTCAAGTGAGGTCAGGGGTCGTATTCTGTGCATCTAATTAATTTCTTTGATCTGTCGCCCAAAGAACTACAATTAT